GAGCGCAGCGCTGCCTCCGCGCGCCCCTCGCCCCCGATCGGCCCGCTGCTCCCAGCCGGCGCTCCCCGCGCGCCCCGCTCTCCCCACGCTCCGCCGCCAGGCTGGAGCCGGGCTTTCCCTGCTCACCACTCGCCCACTCCCTCCTCTCTTCTCCCCCGGCTCGCGGAGGGACCTACTCCGGGGATGGGCACCCCCTGCGCCCCTCTCTCCGCTTCTCCTGGCGCCTCCGCTTCTCCGCTGCACTTGGCAGGAAATTGGCCCCGCGAGCGGGGTGTGCAAGCCCGGATCAGGGGCTCGGGGAGTTAGCGGCTCCCCAGGCCCCGGGCCCCCTGCCGCATTCTCGCAGGCTCGCGGGGAGGACCGGCTGCCTCCCTCCCCGACAGCCCTCGCCCTTCTCCCAGCCTCGCCCTCTTCTGCCACTGGGCTGCGCGCGGGGGACTCCGGTCCTCGCTGCAGCAAAGATTTCTCACCAGCAAACAGCCCGGGAATCTGGAGAGCCTGAGACAGGAATGGATGAGGTGAAGGGGCCCAGGGAGGGAGAGGAGGAGACAAGAAGGCAAAAGGGCAGCTCGAGGAGGTTTAAGAGACTGGGATCAAGGAGGAAAGAATTGGAGGAGGAAAGGCTTGGGGAGAAACCCAGGGCAGAGGTAACATCCTAGGAAAGAGAGGGAGGACCGAAAAGTTCATTTAAATGCAAAGTTTAGGGTAATGAGCGGGATGGAGAAGAGCTTGAGAAATGAGAACTCAGGGGAGGCTCCAGTCCGTTGTTTGAAAGGCTTGAGGCAGGACTAGGGAGTAAGAACTGCGGGGAGTGCAAAGCAGGAAGAGTGATTGAAGCCTCCTTTCTTTCCAGCAGCCCATTCTGGAAGACACTTTGCCTCTGTGCTGTGGCCCACTTCCGGAGAATGACCGACACAGTTCAGGGGCTGACGGAGGAGGATGGCAAGGACAGCGCTTGGGGCAGTGGGCACAAGTGTCTGAGAGGAAAATGGGGTATTTTTCAGGCACATCTTTTCTTAGCTGGGGCTCTGGAATATTCACCCGGCTCCAGGTCACCCCCAGAAGACTTAAGCGCTGCGCTGGTGGTGTCAAGGGTTGTGTTGACTGATTATCCTAGAAAGTTTCGGGGCTCTGGTGTCCCTTCCTCCCCAGGGGCACCGTGAATTCATTTCACCAGGCTGTGTTGGATGGAGTCTGTACCGCACCCCCAGAGTGCGACTGTGGTAGCCATGAAGGACAGGTTTCTAATTGCTCCGCATGGCTTGAGGTCTACTGATCTACACAGCAGCTTCAATCCACTAATTCATTAAACAGTGAGAGAAACCGTTTTAAATCTTTACAGTTCTTTGGGTGCTATTGGTTGGATCCTACCATTTTAAAGCCTGGAAAATAGGGTCAGATGAGTTCATACTAAGCTTCTCAGCAATCATTACAGGGAAAGATTCTCCTTAAAGATTAAGGGAACTGAAGCAGTGTTTCCCATTACATTTTACAAAAAAATACAACAAGTGCCTACGTTTACCCAGTGTAACATTTCGGAAAAGAGAAGAATGGCATAGATTAAGTGAAATTCTTGCAAGGGCCCCACCTGGTTAGACTTTTTTTTTTTTAAATATGCACTATCTTTACCCCTTCAAGCCTCCTTATACAACATATCACCAATTACCTGAATTTGTAATTTGTAAAGGACATTTCATCATCCCTGCTAAAACTTCAGAGTGTTTTCTTTTTAAGTTCTGAGGTTTGCTTTTAATGTCGCATCTTTTTGTGGTTGTTGGTATTTACCCACTTTTCTGTTACATTGCACCACAGTGTTATGACAAAAAACAACCTAATCATGAGTAATTGGATTACACAAATCATACATTTGTCATTTTGGTGTCGAAGACTTCAGTCTTGCGAGTCAAGTGGGATTTGAAATGTTTTTCTTTTCGTCTTTTCTGTCAGTGTAAAAACCAAGGCTGTAAATAGTATCATTCCATTTCTCTTATAAGATAATAAAAGGGGCCACATAAAATTCAAGCTGAATTTAAGTTAAATTAAGATTTCAAAACCCACCAAATCATGGAAGTCATCACCTAGTTGGGCACCAAGTGAAGCTCTGCTTGATGTACAGAGAGAATAAGCAACTTTTATTCTTCTCAAAACTGAAAGATTTGAGCTCTCACGTGATGTAATGCCACCCTCGGTTTAGATGTAGGAAAAGTTTTCTGGTTCATCTCACCACCATGATGACACCTCGGCTAATAGGACGACAGATAACATAATTATATTTTTCCAAGATAGGAATCTGGGTATTTTTTTTTAATTTCTATTTTTCCAGTTAATAAAAACCCCCATTTTACTTTACAAATCTAAATGATCTTTCTCTGTATATCTCTATCCCTCTATGTAGATATAGATCTATAGATATCTCCTCCTGTCATACCTGTCTTTAAGATGTACCAAAAGGGAAAGTGTTTTGGAGTTGGTTAGCAAGGAAGGCAAGTGGGGGCTGTAGCAGATTGTGTGTATTCATAAATAATAGAAATGATAATCGACAATGCTGAAGACAAAACAGTCAAGAATAAAAGTGTGGCTGGGGCGCCTGGGTGGCTCAGTCAGTTGAGCATCCAACTTGATTTCAGCTCAGGTCATGATCTCAGGTCCTTAGCATGGAGCCTACTTGAGATTCTCGCTCTCCCTCTCCTGCCCAGCCCCCCACTCTTTCTCCCTCTCTCTCTAAAAAAAATTTTTTTTTAAATAAAAATAAAAATGTGTCTAATAATGGTAGGACTGGCACTTTCACTTTTAATCCTGAGTGTCTGGTCCTCTGAACCATTTTATAATTATGACTTGTGATATACCTCCTATTATAGGAAACAATTACTGGAGCCTCTCTTTGGAGCATTTGTAAAGGCAGAGGTAAAAGATCCTGCTACATCAGAATGAAAAATTCAAAAGGTTATTACTAGCTGAGAAAACCAAAGATACACACACACACTTGATTTTATTGCTTTCGTGCTATTTAAGTAAATATTTTCAGTTTTCTGAACTGCAATTTACTAATACATTAAATGAAGGTATCATACCAGAAGATTTCTAAGATTCCTCACAACTTCCCAAATCTCTAACCCTGTGAAGTCAGCTCAGTTCTGCTATGGGAAAGGCCCTGGTGCTGTGGGGAATCCCCAGATGAAGGAGCCATACAACCTTGTACTCAAAACATTCACACAGGGTGTTAGAATATGGCCCCAGAGAGTCAATGAATCAAGGAATAAAGGGGGCTTTGTGGAGGTTTTTCAATGAGAAGAGATAAATATATGTAGATATAGATTAGTAGGTAGAAAAATGGTGTCCAAGAGTCTGTGGGTATAAAGCACACATTGCTGAGCTGTTTGGGGGTACAAACTTGGGAGTGGAGAGGTGGATAAGAACAGAAGTCAGGTTGGGGCATATCAAATAAAGTGCTTGAGATATCGAATATATATATATTTACAATTACAGTGACTTTTTTTTTTTTAACTCATCACCAATGTATAATAAGTAATAGTATCATCCGGTATGACACTTTTAGAAAAGGCACATTTTTGGGAGTGGGAGTCAGGGGGTGATTTGTTGCTCTGGACCAGGAAAGGCAGGAGCTGAGGCTAGTTTAAAGACTGGCCTTTCAGAAAGCCAGGTGAGATGGGGCTGGACTGCAGTGCGACCATAAAGAAGAGAGCAGAGGAGCAAGAGAGAGAGCAAAGCAGACATGGGCACACTCCCCGGCTGCCTGGGGTGGGGGGAGTGGGAGGGTGGCACATATTTCAGGTCAAGGCTGTCCCCAAGTTCGACACCTGAATGCTCTAAAAAGAAGCTGCAGTCTTCAGAAGGTTGGTAATGCCTTCAGTTGGGAAAAGGAACTTGGAAAGAGCAAGTTTGCTCAGGCATGGGCTTTTCAATAGATTATTCACACTCAAATAGTTATATAATGAGCACCTACCATGTACTGTCTGGGTGCTGGAGAAATAAAAGTGAGCAAAGCAAAATCCCTGCTCACACTGGAAGATTCCTCATGTTTATGAACCCTCACTAAGGTGCCAGGAATAGTGCAAAAGCCCTATGTAGACATCAGTTGATCTACAGAAAATCTGAGCTATACTAAGAAACTCATCTAAAGGTTAAATTCTTACTCAAGGTTATATTCTTAGCAAATGTTAAAGCCAAGAGCTAGGGCTAAAACTCAGGTCTGCCTGATTTCAGAGACTATGCTGTCTTCATTAAATCTACTGAGTCAATGAGCTTAAGATGCAATGAGAGTTCTGGAAGCAGAAAAGTAAACTGGAAGAATCCACAATATTTAGAAAAGTAGCGCAGTGTACTTTTAAAAGACCTTAGACTTTTAGATGACAGGCCCTTCGTTTCCTGGCTGCATTACCCTGGACATGTACTTAACCTTTCTGTTCTGATAGAGTCTATGTAAACTTTCAGCACAGTTTTGGCACATCCTAGGAAATTCTAATTAATAAAGAGTTGCCAAAAAATGTGATCAAGTTTCCAATAGAGGGAGGCACTAAATGCCATGGGGGAAAAATGGGAAGTCTAATTCTGACTTGAGGGAAATGTAGGAAGAACTTAGAGAGACAGAAAAGTTGAACCGAATGTTTATGGATGTGGAGAGATTATCAGGTGGAGAAAAAATTATGTGTAACACATGAGAGGACGTATGTTTTTCTGGCAACTTCTAAAAGCTATGACTGGATGGGTTGCATTGGAGGATGTGCTGGAAGTGAGGCCAGAAAGCAAAGCAAGGAAGGGATGGTTGTAAACTTACTCACTCAACAGTTTCATCTCCATGTCTGCGAGTTGCAGAAATCACGAAAGTCCATAAGCAAAGGGGTGAAATGACCTGATTTGCATTTTAGATTGAAAATCCTAGCATGAGTGTGGAGGCCAGAGTCAGGGAGAGAACTCTGGGACCTGGAGAAACAGTTTGGTGAAAAATGACCATGTGAACAAAGTAGCAACAGGGAAATTTACCATTTGACCCTGAAGTCGTACTTTTAGTTTCCTAACCTAAAAATGTCCTGGACAAGAACTACCAAAAGTGCATGCACAAAGTTTTTTTATTACAGTACTATTTATCACCACAAGTAACAAAACAGCCCAAATGTCCATCAAGGGGAGGCTATCTTACTAAGCTACGGTGTATCTATACAATGGGGTGCTGTACAGTTATTCAAGTAAAGAGGAGTACCTTTATGTACCCGTGTGGAGTGATCACCATGGATATACTATATGAGAAAAAGCCAAGTAGAGACAAGTGTGCAGCACAATAGCATTTATCTAGAAGGAGGAATATTTCCTCTAGGGACAGAAAATCAGGATGGAGAGAAAGAAGCAAATAAATCTACTCAGAGTTGCATTATTTCAATTTATTTTAAAACAGATAATTCTGGCTTATCCCCTCCAGTGGG